TGGCTCTTGGCTTCAAAAAGCAACTCCAGCGCTGACGTGCACGCCGCTAGTACACGTGTACTAACCGCAACAAAGCCTACAACAGGTCTATCATTACATCTTGGCTTGTTTCCGCGAAGCTGGTTTTGTTCCCGGCCACGTTGTTTATGTTCCGTTCCACGTGGAATCTTCCATGTGGCAACCATGGCGCATGCAGATCTCAACGTAGAATGACAAATAGAATAGGTGTGGAAGGGGAGGAAGGTTCGAGAAATGAGGCGGTGGAGGTTGTTGTTTTTGTGTCATGTTGATGGGTGAGGATGGGGGTTGAGTAATCTTAATGATGCGGCCCAAGGTATTATGGAGGCTGTTATGGTGCGGTGGTTGGAATTTAGAAGGCACTTTGCGTACTTGTATCCATGAAACGCTTATGGGTACTCGCAATTGTGATCTCATCAGACCCTTGTCGAGTCTCCTACGTGAACCACTCTACCAACGACGAGAACTGCACCCTTACATGGTGTACCAAAACGCTGGAAGACTTTTGGTGCAATGCCAAACTATGATTTTCGGTACCAACGGAGCCAATGTAGATGGGAAGCTCCAAGGTGAATCTGGTCCGGGATGTACCCCAAGCCATAGATGGGCGTCTCCTTCTCCCCGACAGTGATGGGCAGAGGCGCCGGATCACCAAATTGAAGAGGCACCGAAACAGCGGTCTGGAGAGCGAGACGGGCGTGCCGAGGTTGGTCGGCAAAACAGTGAGGACACTTTGGGTCGCAAAGTGATCCGGGGTAGAAGCTTGAAAAGAATAGTTATAAACTAAGACGAAGGAAACGAAACCATTGCGAAGACCATCATCTCCAGACCCATGCATCAACAACCAAGCCACCTACACGTTGTTGTCGCCGACTACTTCTGATGCGTATGATCGCTCCGCGCCCCAGTAACTCCAATGTTGAAGTCCTCGCGTATCCTCGAAAGCGCACTCTGTTCCTCTTCATCCGCAACTTCATCGTCGACTTCAACTTCAGCAATGCTATGTCTGCTATCCGAGCCATCGCTACCATCAGCGTTGACCAACGCCTCCTGCTCCTCCTCATTATCGGACTCGTCATCTGTATCGTCGTCGTCGGCTTTATTCGATTCGCGAGGATCGCGGCCAAGCTCCGGTTTCGTCTTGCGTTCAAAGTCCTCAGCGTGGGCGTCGCGGAAGATTTCGCCGACATGAGTGAACGCGCGCTGGAGAGGAGAGGGGCGGAAGTCGTCTTGAGGGCCGCGGCGCTTGCGCGTATTTGATTGGGAGTGTTCGAGGTCTGCTCCTGAAGCTGTAGCTGGGCGGCGGACTTGGTTATTGTTCTCGGTTGGAGTGTAGGGACGAGCCTCGTCGGGCTGTTCTTCGTCGATGAGGGTAGGTGCTCGAGGGATACCAGAGGTGTGATCCTCTTCCTCCTCTGCGTCCAGGGGGAGGTAGTACGGCAGTGGTACATCTCTGCTTGCGCGGAATCGACCGACGTTCGTACAGTGCTCGTTCTCGACACGGAATACGGACCACATGCCTCTTCTGAAGATCTCACTGAGGGAGACACAGAATGAAGTAGTCGCTGAGTGCTGAAGCTGCAGGGGTGTGACAAGGTACATAACCCAGTTGTTCCGCAAGATTGGATCAATGCACATAGCAGTGTAGTACCACCACACTTTCTTGTATCCCAGCTCCTTGCGCAGGAAGGGATGCTTGGCATGTGGGTCACCGAGACTCCAGTCGTAGTAGATGTCCCAGAAGCTCGTGTAGATGCCGTTGATGGTTGCGAACAGTATGAAAACTGCCTTGGTAGATGGTTTCTGGTCCATGCGGTAGATGCTGGTGGAAACATAGAACAGGATGGTTGCGATGTACTTTCCGCCGTTCAGCAGATGAGGGAACTTGTTTCCGGTGTCTTTGTATCGTCGCAGACATTGCATCAATCGCCATATACCCGGCAACGTCGTCATAACCCCGGTAACGCGTAGGTGAGACGAGTTGCACTGGTTGGGATTGTCCCAGCCGTGCGCGTAGAGACAGAAAAACAGTGCGATGCCCTAGACGGGTCAGTGATTTGTAGCAGAGATGGGTTCGGCGGACTTACACTCATGCTGTAGGTCAGAGAACAGAACATATCGCCCAAGTAGAAGTCTCGCCATTCGACAGGGTATATACCGGCGAGCAACAGGCGCCACTGGCGAGCCATTAGCAGTGGTTTCGCATGAGTTGATCAACAAACTTACCAGGGAATACAGCAGCCACATGCGAGTACGGAAGTACATTATCCTCAGAGGATTGAACAAAAGCGCGACCGATATACCAATAAGAATGACGGGGTAGTAGAGATAGAGTCGATCTCCCCCAACCTGATGAAAGTTGATTTGCATAAACAGACCAAGCATAAACAAAGTCCAACAAGGAAGCTATGATACGTCAGTGTCGGTGTGCCAGATACGGAATGAGTACTAACCTCCGCAAGTTGCCTCCAGTCCAAGTGGTGGCGGGTATCATATTCGAAGATGAAGACGTAGTTGATCTTGTGCTCGTGCCAGGTCCGACACGCCAGAGTGAATAGGAGAAGAAGGAAGTTGATGAGGAAGTAGCCGGCATATATCTGAAAACATTAGCTTTGCCCTATCCATGGTTTGGATGACTCACCTGCAACAGATAGCTCGTGTTCACTGCGAACTCGTTCCCGTCAGTATTGTGCAGATCTGCAATAGTGTTTGCTTTGATGAGACCCTGGATGCCAAGTATGACGCCCGCCGACAATAGCAGACCGTTACGGAATGTATTGTCTGTGTAATCGCCTGCTCGTGCGATCTTGATGCGTAGCTTCCCGATGGCGACTTTGTGGTTGCCCTTCTCGAAGTATCTCGCGTATAGGTCCTCCGTTGCTCGAATGTGCCCTTCGATTACGTCGCTGTTCACGAACCAGGCTTGGTTGACCTTCTCATTCATGTACCGCGACGACGGTCGCGCGTTGACGGTCTTGTCATACTTCTTGTTGATTTTCCGGAAGGCAGTCCGGTTCAACAACGCGTAGGACTTGAGAAGCTCAAGCCCTCTGTAGTACTCCTGCAGTGCCACCTTGAGCTTGCGCTTCGCTGTCTGGTATGGCACGTCGGGCAGATCTGGCCGTCTAGCAAAGTCGCGACGGCTATCGGGATGGTCCTTGGGCTGAAGAGCCGCTGGGGTCGCAAGCTGTGTTATATTCTTGGTGCTCTTCCCGTACTTGCCCGCGTTAATAGCGTCCAACGCGGCGTCTATGGGGTTTAGGAAAGTGTCCTTGAGAGTGTTTCCAATATTCCCATTCCCGTTGGCCTGCTGATTTTCGTCGCCCGAGCTGCTGTTCTGACCGTTGCTCAGCACATGGTGCCCGTCGTGTTTCTTGTGGGCCTTCGCATTGATCTTGTCCGTTTGACGCTTGATGACCTCGTCGATACGTCGGTCTCGCATGATGTGGAGTTGGTCGCGTAGCACGTTCAGGCGCTTGGTAGCCTCGTCTTCCTTGTGCTTGTAGAACGACTCGATCTTATCCAGCTCGCCATCGAGGAAGTTGAAGAACTCGGCTTGTCGGAAGTCAAGGTCGCGGTAGGCTTCGAGGGGGACGTCGCCTGGGCTGTCCGGGGGAGTCTTGCTGCTCAGTGAGAATAGACGGCGTACCGATGGGCGCGACTTGTGCTCGGTGATAGGGCCGGGCAGCGAGTTCATGCGCTTGGGGGTGAAGACGCTCTTGTATCGGTTGGGCAGCGAGCTGTGATGCTTGTGGGGCGACACCGTCTTCCCAACCTCGAAAGCATTGTCGTTGTCGTTCTCTGCTGGCGGAGGAAGCGTGACTGTCTTCTGCTTTCGCAGCGATGCGCCAGACGCCGCTCCTCCTTGAGGGGAAGGGTTCTCAGGGTCGAGCGCAGCCCCAGGCAGCTTCAAGGACGGCGGTGCCCGGGACTTGTCTGCAGAGGTGCCTGTCTTGGTGGCGCCATCAGATGTGCTTCCCTCAAAGCTGCCGTAGTTGTGTGCCCAGTCTCGGCGGTTCGTTTCGCTCTGTGCCAATGGCTCTTCTTCGGGCGTGCGGCCGCTCTGGTTGCTGTTCGCCCTCTGGCGCAGGCTGTGCTGGCTGCGGCTGTTCGTGATAGCAATCGCCCTCAGGTCCTCGGGGTCTCTGGCGCTGCCCGTCTGGTCGCGGTTGAGGTACGTGTACTTGGGCGCGGCGTCGAAGGGCGAGGGCAGGATCTGGGTGCCGCGTCGGCGGAGGCGTGGGGTCGATTCGACATTGCGGAGGGCGCGACTGATGGCCTTGAGCTTCTTCTTGCCCACCTGAGGTCTCGTCAGTCGTCTGTGGTATTAAGCGTCGGCTAGCGGAAGTCGGCATCACCTTGTAGTCTAAGTACTTGAGCCGCCACTCCGGTACCAGATCGCGCTCTAGCTCTCTACTGCAGTCAGTCCCATGGCCGGAGTTATTTAGGTGCGTCGTCTCACTTTGCGAACTTCATGACCGTCTCGTCGGCGCGTCAATACCCAAACACGATCAATGGGGGGCACAAAAGCGCGTTCGCGTTTCTCGTCGATGCATGAGGTTCCGCGCAGACACACTGTAAAATGTTTCACGGGCGCGATAAGGGTTAGTAAATGCGAAGATGGTCGTGTGCTACCTCCAGCAGTTAAACCGTGGTTGCGAGGGCCGTCACGATGAGATTGAGTATACCGCGGAGGAGATTTGCACGAATCATGTTCCCCTTGGCAGCTATTGGCGCATTGGCGACAACGTCATACCTAGGGATCCTGTATTCTGCAGGTGTGGAAGCCCCTCAGAAGCCTCCAGCACAAGACCGGATAAACACACACGTCGATAGAGACATACAGCTGCCACTGTTCACGAAACACGTTGACGATACCGAGGGGCTGGCCAGAGCACTGGTCTCAAAAGGATTGAGCTAGTCCTTCATTGGATTCTTGGTTGCTTCTATGGGTCTGACCAATCATAGCCGTCTCTCCTCCGCTACCACCCGCGCCTCTCAAACTTCTCTGGGCGACCATACTGCTGGGGGTCGTACTGGTCCGCGCCATGGTTGTCGATGTAGTGCTCGTCGTACATGCGCTCTGCATGATGCTCTGCGTCGCGCTTGGCCTTCTCGCGGTCGAACCAGTCCTCGCCCTTGGTCTCGGCGAGCTTGTCAACCTACAGACGTCCAATTAGCCGCCATCCCATACACCGTCACACGGTGATGCTTACCTCAGCGCCTGCGAAGCCGGCAAGAAGCTCTTTGGCGAACTGATGGGATACCGGCTTGCCTAAGACGACGTCAGTGTGCGATAAGATCAAGTATGTGAAGATACATACCTTCTTTGCGCTGGTGGTCTTCAAATGCCTTGAAGCCTGCGAAAGCAGCTCCTCCAGCGATCATCTCGTGTCCCAGACTTGACTTGTTCTCTTCGAAGTTGTCATTCTCGTATACCTGCTGGTAGTTGTCTTCGTTCCTGTCTGTAATGGAGTCAGTGGGAGACATCTTCGATAAGTGAGACAGACGAACCCCAGAAACCCATTTTGATAGTTGATGATGTGAAGACGAAAAGATGAGGGGTGAGATTGGACTTGTCTGTAGTTCAGCAATGGTAGTTGAGTGTAGTGTCCATTTTAGAGGCGTACTTTGTCAGCCTTTAAGTATCTCTCCTCGGACAACCGCTGCCACGCGGCGTCATAATCGGCCAGCATTCATGCATCTGTTGGCAGTAACAAATCACTCATCGAGGCCGATCGTACCCCTCTCTTCTCGCGCTCAGCCATCCAGGGACCACTTGTGGCTCAGCTGTGAAGCACATGCAGGGTCCTTGAGCTCATTCTTGCGCCACTTTACGCACCAGACCGCTGACATCTTGATCTGAGTGGCTCATACTTCGTGTCGGCACGTTTGAAAGTATATTGACGAACCTGTTGTGGTATAGACGCGTGCGTAATGGGCCAGGATGTGGACGTCAGATCAACGGGACGCTCGGCACAGTCAAACAAGCTTCCTTGGTAAAGCTTAGCCTCGCATGACGGAGCGTCTAGGCTCGGGAGCTGAGGGGCTGCGCCTGCAAGAGGTTCCAAATACTCATTGAACAGTACCACAGGATGCGAAACGAAAGTTGAGTTCTCTTGCCAATACTGTAGCTTGGCCTCAGGTAGGATACCTAGGTAGTTGGGGTTGTTGCTTGTTCCGTGGTAGAAAGCTTGGCTAGTTAGCGCGCGATCATCTCCCGTGCGACTCTCAGGTGCTCCAACTCCACCATGTACTCAGCCACAACCCCATCTTCACGACAACATGCCGGGCCGACTCCCCACGAAAGCTGACTTTCCATCGTCGGTGACCTTGAGCATCACGCCACGTACGTCGCAATCTCCAGAGTCGCTCTTACCCTCGCTAACTCGTGCAGCGCCGGCTTCGCAACCACCCACGAACATCTTGATCCTCCTACACGGCCTCGGCGACACGAATGCGTCCTTCACGAAGCTCGGCGAGCAGCTGAACCTCCCAGAAACAGCATGCATTGCGATACAGGCGCCGAACCCTCTGCCGTTCGATCTCGGTGGAATGCACTGGGGTGAAGACATGATCTTTGACTCCACCACGGGCGAAATGGATATGGATACCGGCGTCCAGAAGTCCACACTTCTGGTCCTAGATCAAGTCATTCGCGAAGGTCTCATCGGCAAATGCGGCTACAAAGCACGCGAGATCATGATCTTTGGGTTCGCGCAAGGCGGCATGGTCGCACTGCAGGCTGCTGCCCAGCTTGAGGAAGAACTAGGCGGGGTAATCAGTATCGGAGGACCTCTATCACAATCAGTGCCGCTGAAGGCTTTGGAGAAGAAGAGCAAGACCCCGGTGCTAATCTGTAAAGCAGACAAGAAGTCTGCAGTCACCGACAGTGCGACTATGAAGCTAAAGGATGCTTTCCAATATATCGAGTTCAAAGAATGGAAGAAGAACGGCGATGGCATGCCGAGCAGCCGCGACGAGATGCTGCCCATCATGCAGTTTTTTGCTCGTCGGCTACGGAGTACTAGAGGAGTTCCGGCAGGTAGCGTCGAGATTGCATAGGCACGTCACTGAGGATATCGCGAAATGTCTTGTCGAGGTCAGTCAAAGCCCCCTTGGGCCACTACGCGCATGCGGCGCCTTTCCAAGTGCTGGGTAGGTAGCAAAGCAAGGACACCAAAGAATATAATCGGCTCCCCAAGCATCACGCGATCTGGACTTGAAAAATCTTACACCCACACACATTCAACGTCGCTTTCCCCACCACATTCCTGTCATCGTGCCTTCCTGCCCTCGTGATGCACGTGGCGTGGTCCGAGCGCCTTCTACGTCACTTCCATTCTTGAACACCATTCGCTCATCGTCTTCCACCTCCCGAAACCTACACACGCTTCACCGCTAAACACAGCCATGGCGGTGCCGAGGAATTCTTTGCGAGCCTTTCTCACACACGCGAGAGGCGCTCTCCGGAGCGCCATTGAAACTAGTCAGAAGATTACATTCGTCATTGGCAATGAGTCTGCGGGTGAGCATGACTCCTGCTCCACAATGGCGCTGCATACTCATGAAATGCAGACCTTGATTCGATGTCATGTTCCATTTTGTACGCATACCTCCGGTCCATGTCGCCGCCCAAGAATGCCTTTAGCCCACTTTACGTACCAATCACAAATATTCCAGCGTCCGATATTCAGCTACGACCGGAATACTTGGCCGTGTTCAAGCACGCCAATATTGAGTCAAAGCACTTGATCACGTTGGATGACCTTCCTGCTTTGTCAGACATACAGTCGAAGCTCGCGCCTGAAAATACCAAATGGATCTTGGTAGACCACAATGCGCTGCAGGGCCAATTGGGCAAGATCTATGCAGAGCGTGTCGCTGGTGTCATTGATCATCATGACGATGAGAAAAAAGTACCGGAAGACACAGGCGACGAGCCGAGGATAATCGAGAAGTGTGGCAGCTGCACTAGCTTGATTGCAAACTACTGCCAGCCATCATGGGACATGGCTTCCGCGTCTGGCTTGTCTTCGGGGGCAGCCCATGCGCAGGGTGACAGCATGTCCAACGACGCTGCCTTTGTCAAGCGCTGGGATGCAGACGTCGCCCAGTTGGGACTGGCCAGCATTCTCATCGATACGGCCGATCTCCACGACGAGAACAAAACGACCGAGCATGACCGTAAGGCTGTCGAGTACCTGGAAGCTAAGATCATGCTCTGTCCCCCGCTGGCTGCAAGCTTCGACCGCGCCAGCTTCTACAAGGAGATCAACGCAGCAAAGAAGGACATTGGAAGCCTAAAGCTGCAAGACATACTTCGGAAGGATTATAAGCAATGGGACCAGGGTAGCCGAAAGCTCGGTGTCAGTTCTGTTGTCAAGCCTATAGAGTTTCTCCAGAAGAAAGCTGGCGACGAAGCAGGTGCTCAGGCATCCGACGCGTTCCTCAAAGCGTTGGAGGACTTTGCAAGGGAGCGTGAATTGGACATGTATTCCCTGATGACCACGTCGTCGGGTGCAGATGGGCAATTCCAGAGAGAACTGTTACTATGGGCCTTCAACGACGGCGCCGTGTCGGCTGCCAAAACATTTGCCACGAATTCAAAAGATGAGTTGGGATTGGAGGACTGGCAGGGCTCCGACGACATTGACAGCACGAGCGAGTGGAGAAAGACTTGGTGGCAGCGACAAGTGCAGCACAGTCGGAAACGTGTCGCTCCTCTACTCAGGGAAGCCATGCCTTGACTATGGGTTCTGGGCAAGCTGTGATGGAGTCGCGGAGGCAGCGATCGGGTACAATGGTGCCGGTAGAGCGCTACGCTGGCGCGTTGGTGTCGGATTAGCGGGGATCGCCACGATTTCGCATGTCTTGCATTGTAGATAGGCGCTTAGCAGCGATTGGGCAGGGCGACCGTCAGCCCAAATGCCGTTGGGTAGAGTACGTGGAATGGCCATGGGTACCTGAAGAAGGAGCGGTCTGTATGCGGCAATCGTGTGGCGGGGTATTACACGCGACCGGCAGATGGTCGACGATCTCCGATAGCCAGCTGGAAACGAAACATGTTCAGTGTAACATTTCAACGCCCACGCAGGATATTCTTATCTCGTAATATTACGATCGCGATTGAGTTGCCATGCACCAGGATATAGCGGCAGACGCACTGCGACTGCAAACATGCAAAAGGAACGAAGCTCCGCAGCGACTGCAGCGATAGCCCCAAGCAGGAGATGCTGCAGAGAGTTTAGTATGTGGTGTGACGGTGCGGCTCATTGGATGGCGACTGGATATGCATGGCGGAGTGATGAATGATGTCGAGGATTGCGAGGCACTAGGCATGCACTGGGAGATGAATGGGAAAACATGGGTTCACAGCGGTGCAGCGCGATGCTTTGGCGTGCAGCATGTTGCATGGCATGGTCCTTTTTGACAGCCATGCGCTGGCAGCGCAGGGGAAGAGGGCGACTCCACTCGCCGGCCGTCACGTCAGGAGGGCGAGCAGAGCTGCGCGCAGGCGATTAGCTGAGGGGCGTCGTCTGTATTGGCGCTGCAGCTGCAGCGGCGAAGCGTGTTTGAGAGTTTACGAGTTGCGCTGCTCGTGAGGGCAGTGTGCCGTGGTGAAGGGAGGAGGGGTAGCGTTGAGGGGCGGTCGCAGAGGCGGCCAGCGATACCGCCTAGTCTCTCTATGGCGACATCAACACGGCCAGCACCAGCGGCGGGAGAGCGTCGCCGAAACTTCTACCAGAGCGACGACGGCGCCGATCCAAAGCGTGCGTTGTCGACGAGTCTCTGTGCGAGGCGGGGATGGCTGGTGTGGGAAGGCGAGGGTCTGAGCTGAGGCATTCGGCGGGCTGGTCCTCATTCGTCCCACTGCGATGTGCTGTTCCTGCAAGTCATCGCCTGGACGGCTCCATGGCGACATGGAGGCCGTGGGCAAGTCTGGCGGTCTGGCACGGCCACCAATCTGAAGCAGCTCCCCCGCTGTATTTCGCACACGGTAGGCTCTCTAGGCGGCTGGCGGCTTAGCAGTAGTATGGGATTAGTCGGGGGCCGTTGAGCTGCAGTCGTGACTTGTTACAGGGACTCGAGGACGAGGCCCAATCACGCTTCTTTTGCCTCGCTTCTGTATCATTACCACCTAAAGAGTCAAGACGCGCCAGCGCATACGTCGAGCGCGGTGGAGAGGGCGCGCCCAAAGCAGTTCTTCTTCTCCCAAGACTACCGCCCCATCTGGCAATGCCGTAGGGGATCTCTGCCACCTTTCTTGAGGTCCGCACCTTCCGTAGGGCTTCCATGGGGCTCTCTCATGGCGACATGATGCGACGAACCCAACTCACAGCCTCGCCGGCGCAGGCTGGCAGCACTCCGCGTAGGTGCCCATCTCCCTCCCCGTGCTCTGCTATCCCCCCCGTGCGCGAGCGCGTCTCCGGCCAATAGCTGGCGCGGGCATCAATGCGCTGCTCTGTGCATGTACGATGAGCTGGCAGGCGAGCCGACGCTGACTTTCTCGTAGCCGTGTCGCCCACCGTCACCCATGTGTCGTCCAGATGCCACACGCCCTCGCACACTACTTCTCAAGTCGACGACCCGCCCGCTGAGGCTCCGCCTAGGTCTCACAGCCCGCCCAGGTCGCCCTCACCTCGCGCTCCCAAACCACCACCGGCCACCATGGGCAGCCGACCTGGCGGAACTCCAGACGTCCACGCCGACCGCCATGGCCACCAGCAACTCCAGCGCCCCCAGATACCCGCCTCCATGTCTGCCCCCGCCGGCCGCCTGCCGCGCCTGCTGCCCGCGGATCTCTCCTCCTACACCGACTCGTACCTGCCGACTGCAGCCATCCCACCGTCCGCGACTTCCCTCGCCGAGCTCGCCCACCTGATCCGCCTCCAGGGCTACCAGGAGCAGCGCAAGACGCATGCCCGCGTGCGCCTGCACCGCTGGCTGGTCTCGAGCGCCCTCTCCGCACGTCTGGTACACTGCGGCGAGCTGGCCTACCGCACGCTGGTCGACAACTTCCGCTCCGACGACAAGAAGTCGTTCGCCTCCCTCTACAACGCCCTCAACGACGTCCGCAACTCGTGCGATGCCACGCGGCAATATGCCCTCTTGGAGCCGGATCTGGAGTTTGGCAAGTCCAAGAACTTCCGGAGCGAGAAGCCCCTCTCTGCATCCACTTTCCTCAATGAAGTCCCGTCCAAGATTCTGGACAACCTTCTCGATTTCATTTCCGAAATCCGTACGAACCCAGAATTTCTTGCTGCTCGTATTTCCAGTCTTTCGCAGCAAGAGCTCACTTCTCTTACGTCTTTCCGTCAGACCATGGACCCGATTGACTCGGTCATGTTTGCAAACGCCCGTAGCCGCAACGCTCCCTCGCAGAAGGCCCAACAGCAAGGGACAAGCCCGGTAGAACGCCTCCTATCTTTCCAGCGCCACGATCCGCTGTCTGCCCTCGTCTACACCATCTTCGCTAATTCATCCGGACCCGACTCGGCAGAGGACCTTCGCCGCACAGATGTATGGGCCACTGTTTGTGCCAAGCTCATCAAGAACAACAACCCTAACTTCATCCGCACTGTGCTCGATGTCTGGGCCGGCATGCGAGAATGGCCCGGAAAGACCAACTTGGAGCTCTATCTTATGCAGACCCTCCAGGATGGCCAGTTTCTGCTCGAGAAGCCCGAGGAGCAGGCCGCACGACCCGGAATGCAAGCGACCCCGCGCTCCAGCAAGGACACCATTGCAGCAGACGAGTTCTTTGACAAGGCTGTCAAGCGTCTGTTCGAGGTCGTTGACGATGAGCCCAGTGCCGGTGGCATTCCAGAAGGAGTCTTGGAGATTGGAAATGCCATCCTTCGCAAATTGGAGGACGAGAAGAGCCTGCGCAGGGCTTCGCAAAATTTCTTTGTCTCGCGTTGGCTCTTCTCTACCTTCCTCATGAACGCCATCATCCATCCCGAGGCATGTCTACCCTTTCTGACGCAAGAATTGCGAAACTAACACCCAACAGACCCATGGCATCATGATTGGCCACCACATCAGTGAGCATGCTCGCATCAAGATTCTGAAAGAGGTCGCCATCCGAGCGCAGAAATATGTCGTGAACATGACCTACAACTGGTATGGCGATATGCTGTAGTACCCTCTGGCTATCAGCTAACAAAATTGTAGGAAGCAGAAAAACGAAATCCTTCCTGAAATCCGCACACACATCGAGAACATCCTCGCTCGGTTTAAGCACACCAAAACACCCTCGAAGCCAATTTTGCTTCCTGCAAAGGCTATAACATCACCCAGAGAGACTGTGGAAGTTCAGCCATTCATTGTCTTGTCACCAGCCGACATTGTCACCCTGGTCAACGCTCTGTTCCCGGAGCGACGTCCGTCGTCCAGCCACATGGACAATGACAGCCAGCGCCGTACTGGTCTGGCTTCCTCTGCTTCTTCCATGTCTGGGATGTCGGTTCCATTCCGCAATGCCGCCGCTTCTGTGACTGACGCAAGCTCTATCCTGAGTGCCAGTGCTTCTTCAATGACCAGCGACCAGACCTCGCGTGAGCCACTTCTGGACAGCAACTTGGTATCCGGCGAATCACCGACAGAGATGAAGCCTGCACCAACAGAGCAATACGGAAGACAGCTGCGAATGGCATGTTCTGAGATGACTCGCCTCCTAGGTTTCGAAGCCACATCAGGCTCTTGCCATCCATGCGCAGAGCGATGGGCTGTCCTTTACATCTCCGCCGATGGAAAGCAGCTAAAGCCGCGTATGCGCAAAGACTTTGATGATGAGGATGAGCACGACGAGGACTCACCAGACAGCGACAGCAGCGACGATGAAGAGGGCGGAAACAGGTTCGATCTTGGCAACGACTACCACCAGCTGAAAGAGGCAATCGCCAAGCTGGTGGAGGAGTACGAGATTCCCAAGGATCTTGCGCCCGACAGCGAATCGAAGAACTTCAGCAACAGAATGACGACCCGCAAAAGCACTCGTGGACGTGGCCCAGTACGCAACGTCAGCGAAAATCTCGGATCACGCAACCCATACAACTCGACTCAGAGCCAGAGCCAGCTTACCAACATGATTGCCAGCCAAAGAAACGTCTCATCACGGCGCTCACCACAATTTCCTAGGAGTCACAGCAACCCTCAAGTCGGCGAGAAGCAAGAGAACAACTCAGTTCTGGTCACCATGCTTGAGACCGCCATGTACCAGTGTCAAGCACGATCCGATTTCGTCAATGCGCATATGTATTACAAGACATTGCAGAGTCTGAAAAGACTCAGCTCTCCGACACTGGTCAAGAACGGCTACGCAGCCCTTCTCAACTACTTCTCTCGCAGCCCGCGCGACCTCCTCAGCAAGGCAGCCAATGCCATTGAAGAGTTCGAGGCCTGGTTCGTGTGGCTCAAGCAGTCCCAGGAACGGTCAGATGGTATGGTCGAAGAGATGATGCTCACGTTCAGGAATCTTCGAGACAAGATGTGGTACATCACAGATGTCCGCACTTCCAAGCCATACGAGGACGCCAGGAACGTTGCGCTTGCTCTTAAGATCATGGACCAACAGTCAAAGATGCTTAATGTCAGAGGTCCGTCCGGTTCTCAACCGCGAAACAGCAACAGCTTCTTACGCCAGAACGAAGCTCAGCTGGTTGACCTAATGTCAGCTTCTCAAGATTTCGGTGGCCCGAACAAGCTGTCAGACGAGCAGTCGCAAATCACGCTGAAATGGCTTATGCAATACAGCGTGGAGAACTTCTGTAAAGGCGAAGAGCGGATACATCGTTTCTGTCTCGAAGTCGACAAGTGCGTCACCAAGGTCATTGGCGAGGGCGTTCTCGACGGGCCCGTGCTCTGGGCCAGCGATCTCTACAAACGCGACCAGCAGATTCTGGAGAGTGGACGGCAGAAGGGCGACCTGTTCTTGACTGGTGTTGGCACTCTTTCCATCGCCGGTGACGAGGAGTACGAGACCCACGGCCGACCTGGTTCTCGTAGCCATGACTTCTCACAACGACCAAGCCAAGGTAGTCTGCGTGCCGCAGCTAACCGCAATGGATCTTCCAGTTTCGACCAGAGCCCCTGGGGAAGAAACCCCATGGACGCCCCCGACTACTTCGGCGGGTCTTCACCCGTTCATGCAATCGACTCTATGGCTACTTTCTGGTCACCGTTCCAGACCCAAGCGCAGTCTCCTACCAACGCCACAAGCATCCGACCACGTACCGCATCATCATCGAAGGGTACGGTGATGCTGAAGCAATCTGCAATGGTCAACGAAGACAAGCGCCGCTTCATGCTCGATCTCAAGCAAACACTCACAGGCCTGCTTCTGAGTGACCTCGGAACAATGGTCTTCGCCAACGGTAGCGAGACCGACTCATGGTTCGGTGGTGATTTGCTAGACGACTGCTTCGAACGTAGAGATGAAGAAGAACGGAAACGCAAAAAGCAGCTCGCCAAGAAGAGCATGAAGAACATCCGGAAGCAGACCCTGCCCGATTCACGCAACTTGCCGCTGGAGACGCTCGGCCGCAACGAGCGTGGAACAGCGGCCCCGCCTGTTGCAACTTTCCAACACGCCAGTGCATCCGACGCTCACCAATCTGCCGGCGAGCAATCCTCGGCTTCCAGCGACGCGACTTCGCGTTCGGTTGGCAATGCCACAGCGAAGAAGGCTGGGCTACTCGAGTTCCCATACAACGTTGCTTTCCGACGGCTGTTGGGCAGGTTCCAGACACATCCCAACCCATACTCTAAACTGCATGCACTGTATGAGCTAGAGCTGCTCATCATAGCATCACTCTCTTCTCGAACGGGCCGCTCGTACAACAACCGTCGGGAGACTCTTCCCCCAGTTCCTCAATCACCCACCCTTGGCACCATGCCAGAGCTCAGTTCTCGCGAGCCAGCTACTCAAACTTCGCGTGCACAAAACCTCGAGGAAGCCATCGCCAACTGCGAGGAGCGCCGCTCCCACAGCATGAGCGTGGAACGCGTGAGCAACGCTTCCCCCCTGCCTCGCAACGGTGCACGCTCCCCAGTTGGACCACCAAGCACAGACATGATCGTCGAAGTCATCCAAGGCCTCTTCCGCGACGCTAACATCCGACCAAAGACCCTGTTCCGAGACCTGCAGTACATTGCATCCTTTGTGCCTGCGCAGATGCTGGACAAGACTGCACGAGGCAAGGCATTCTGGGATGTCGGTCTCGCTGCTCTTGGCCTCAAGCAAGATGTCTGCCGGATCATGGTAGAGCTCGTCGATGAGGTCATTACCCAGAACTCGAAGCGCGATGCAGGCAAAGTCAGCAGTGGAGCTGCTATCGAGAAAGCTGGTGCATCGTCCACTACACCAGCTCCGGTTGATGAGCCGCTATCCAAGTACACCATGGAGGATGCCGGACGCATGCTCCTTATCACTGCCAAGGAAGGCGATGCTGTAGCTGAGCGTGAGCTTGCTATCTTCTACCTCACCTCACCCGAGCTTGTCCATCGCACAGTCCTGCCGCTCACCAGGCCCAGCGAGGTCTTCAAGACTGAGCTTCTCAACCGTGAGAGGAAGGCGTCGCAAGACCCCGCCCGCAGCGACCCAATGACCATGTGTGTCGCGCAACACTGGATGGAGCAGTCCATGAAGGGCGGCGACCAGCTTGCCGCCAAGTACTTGCGCCAGCGCAGCGAGCTGGAGAACATCAACCCGAGCAGGGCATAGTATGTCTTTTTCCGCATTTGGTGTTCGACTCTGCATTGATACCCCCGACCCGTCGACCTATTCTTCATTACCAGCGATACTGCGCGAACCTTTATTCATGCATTTCCGCCATGCGCACAACATCTTTACGGCCTATATACAACCATGACGGCCGGTCAAGCATAGCGAGGAGTTTCCCCATTTTATGTCTTTCACATTACCATCAAGGTTTTCGACTTTAAGCAAGCATGATTCCCCCTGTCGCCTTGATCTTCTTCTATTCGCGTTCTAGTTCATGTCTTCATCATCTTATAACTTTACTCTTGTTTTTTTCCTCAAACCCGGCGCAAACATGAAGGCTTCGACGATATATGACGCTTGTAGATCCACAAGGAAAGGGTACAACGGATGGGGATACCAAATATACCAGGGCTCTTCTTCGGGAACATTTATGGAGCTCGCGCATGGCCAGTGCTCCATTACTTGTCTTCTCCTCGGATTGTTTTCCACCGATGGGCTTTCTATATGCATGAGAATAGGCTTCCTTCAAGGATACGACAACGAATCTCCTTGGACATGAACAATATCCCTTTTTTTGGGCTGGTATCTGAATGTTTACATACCATATAGCGTAGATTTCTCTAGCTCTGCTGGGTAGTATCGGCATTGGAATGGATAAATTGTGCAAAAGTACTGGACTGTGTGAGTTTGTTGATGTGAGCGTGATGGAGCGAATGTGATGGACAGTAAGATGGTGTTGCAGTGAGTTGGATGCCTGGTATAGTACATGCTGATGATGGAATATATTGACTATCCTACTCGACAAAGCATAGCTACCACAACAACCCCAATCCCGTTACCAACATCTCAATCTCCTCGATACTAGTACACATATCACTCAAGACATCAACTCTTCAAAAACATCCATCCACGAACCACCGGGAGCTGGACGAGGCGAACTCTCCGTGCTATCATCCGGGCTATCCTCCGCATGCGCCTGATGCGGGGTTATCCCACACACACGGTGCGTGGAGTCTTCGACACCAGTTTCGTAGCTAGAAGATCTGGCAGCTTCCTTTGGGCGCATGGGTAGACGAGTGGGTTCTTGGAATGACAGATTGCGGTGAGTGTCTGGTTTGGCGGCGAGGGTTGTACGGGGTGGGTTTGTAGCGATGGAGCGGGCGGTCTTGGGAATGAAGATCCTGGTGGTCTTCTTGGAAGGGTTTACAACGGGGGGCGGGAACAGAGGTCGAGATGAGGATGACGGTTGTTGCGCAGCTTTGGTGGATTGGGCTAGGATGTCTAGAAGCTTCTGGTCCTCAGCCGAGTACGCAGCGTTCTTCTTGTTCTTGCTCCTGTTCGCGTGCGCAGCGTTCTCCAAGTTCTCGCGCGCACGCTCCAGTGCAGCTTCCACTTCTCGGACATAGGCCTTCTTCAGTGGCTCCCTGCTCTCCCAAGCAGGGAGTTTCCTGGAAGCTTGGTAGTACTCATCGGCCAGGTTTTGGTACTCATCAGGCAGGTTCTGGTCGTCGATAATTTTGTTCCTGGTTGCGTGATCGAGTCCTCGGCCGTAGAAGCGGAAGGGATCGAGTTCGTCCCATGCCACAGAGTGGCTCAACCAGGCAGGACGAGAGCTGGGGTGTATATCCATGAGAGTGTCGAGCGTAGCCCGGGCTTTCGAGTGTGTTTTGGTTGTTTCATTCCGTGCCTCGTGTGCAGGTTCCCGGCCGTAGAAGCGGAAGGGGTCGAGCTCGGCGGCCACTGTCTGCTTGGGTGGTGATCCTACGCGCTTGAAGCTCAACTTCTGCTCTTGGCGCGGTTGCTTTCCTTGCTTTGCAGGGTTCTCTTGGAAGAAAACAATGGGTTTTGATCCTTGGTCTTCTTGGTGAATGATCACATTACGGCTTGGAGGATTAGCTGTGTAAGTGTGGGTTTGAGCAGGTTGTAGGTCTTCTCGGTAGATAACCATATGACTGCAACGATGATCAGCTGGGGATGCTTGAATCTGACCAGGTCCTACACGAAACCGGCCGAAGTGTTGCTGTTGCGATTGCTCGACCGGAGAATTGGAAGAAGGCGTGTCGGACCCGTGAGGAGTGCGGCCTGTGGGAGCGGAGTCATGATGTTCTTCGGCATGACCTTGTGCGTAAAGCTCAGCAGAATCGTTGATATATTCGACATAACGGCCGACCAACTCCTCACCTCCCTCAAAATCGATGACATCCCACAGCCACTCGAAATCGACCGGAAGGCCGAATTCATCATCGAATGTCGGAAAGCCATGACCAGACTCCCACGCGTACATCTCCATGTCGTCAAGGTACTGGGAGCCTTGGAGCCAGTCGCTGATGAGACCTCGCACGGCAAGGCTATTCTGGTAAATGGGATCGTCGGGTCCTTCTGAAAGATGTAGTTGAGTCCGTTCTAGGTATGCAGCAAGGGCTTCGAGATCTTGCGGCGGCATGGGTCGTTGGGTGTCCAAATCGATCGGTAGTGTGAAGAAGAGTTCGGAGCCGCTTGGAAGACGCACACAGTGCCCATTTGGATGCATGATGAACTCAGCGCAGCGCCTATCGCTAGTACGTAGGAAGAAAGGCATGTTCTGGAAGGTCGATAGTGAGATGTACTTGATAAAAAGTGCTCTTGTTAAGTTGCTGGTGTTTTGATGATGTGAGGGCTTAGTGGATGTGGTAGATTAGTAGAGGAACAGAGGACTTATATACCTACTGTATGTGACAGTTACTCTCGTGAAATTTGCACTCTTGAAGCCCGGTAGCTTACGTATCTAACTATGGTGTTTGAATCCAGCGCACCAAACCGTCGAAGACGTACTGTAATCACTCGTGGGGCTCTGCGCTGGCATGACAGATTCTACAGACATAGCTAGTGATCGAAGTATGGGTACTGTCAGTCGTGTATTCAGGATGTTGACGAGTCTTTTCATTCAACGGAGTAACTTTACATGGGTAGGACATGAATTTCAGACGTTATGAGTGGCTCATCAGCTCTACGTTCAGTATCTACCTGCGCAATTTCGCTTTCCTACTCTGCCACATGCGCTCTTCCCGCGTTGACGTTCTTTCGTGGAGCCTCGTTGACATCGCAAACGAGGTGTGTAGGCGCGACATACACATGTGAGATCACCTCTGACGCGTGCGCACCTGCAAGGCTTTGTGTAAAGACAGTCTCATTTACAATTATCTCCGGTTTGGTGGTTCTTGTGAGACTACTAATTCAACATTTCCAACATCTCCACCATCGTGCGAAAACTCTGGATCCGATTTTGCGCGACGATACCCTCGTCGGTTTTGCAGCGGATTCGGCGGATTGAGCCAAGTTCGTGTACTGGTGCGCATGCGTCCTTGCTCGAAGAAAGGAGTCTCCTCGTTGCTATGCTCCTCGTTGCTATGCTCCTCGTTGCTATGCTCCTCGTTGCTATGCTCCTCATTGCTATGCTCCTCGTTGCTCATTGGGTCCTCTACTTCATGTTGCTGGTGCTCTTGTAATGCCGTCGGGATAAAAGGTGTCGAAGAGTCATCACTTATACGCGAACCACTGGGCACGCTGAGTGGTACGACCGGGGCGTTGCTTTCGTTGTGTATTCCACGTGGTGTGATTGCTGGCGAGGATGAGGAGTGTGCTGTAGCGGATGTATCGAGCACAGCATTATGCGTTCCAGCGATGTTGCGCGTCCGCTCGAACGGGAATGTGGGGTGCCTATAGCTATTGTTTCTTGCATATGCAGAATCTGCGCGAGAGAGGACTGGTTTCTTTGTGGTATCCCAGGTCCACATGAGCGTTTTCCGTGGCTTTTTATCGGCACCGACCACGTTAATCAGTTTACCGATAGCGAAACCGAGTTTTCCTAGTTGAGCCAATGTGGCACGGGATATGCGGCGAGCGTGCATTGTCCGCAATCGATATTTGCGGGTCAATCGTAAACCTTCCATGGCGTCGTCGTAGTCTTCGGTTGAGAGGTGAGACTGCTGACACCATTCTACCGTGATATAGAACATAGATAGACCCATGACTGACGCGGTCAATGAGGTACCCGATACCCAGGTCAAGGTAATACCGTAGCCGTTCGACGTGAATTGTTGACTGAAATCAAGGTAGCCACCACCACCCGCCCAGTTACTGGTTATGCAGTTACAGGTTCTGTACAGCCCAGTAACCTGCGCCATGACGATATACATCTGTGAAAAAGTAGTCAGTAATGTACTTCTTACTCAGAGAACACAGGGGTAACTTACTAGCCATATGGTGTTGAATAACTCTATGGGTCGGAAGAAGACAAGGTCCCACTTTGCCTGCGTCTTCTCTAGGGACTTTTCGACTCTCTCTCTCCTACCTTCCCTGTGTCCCCATGGCCATTTGAGACAAATAGAGACTATACAACAAACAAGCAGGTCTCCCATGGTTTCGCACACATTGGAAAAGCCTTTTCCTAGTCTTTCCCATGTCGGCTGTGCATGCATCGTCCAATAATTGGAAATGCCATGTTTATGCAGGTAACCCTTAAGGAGGGTTAGCCAACGCGGAGTAATCTCATATGGCGAAAAGTACATCCAGACGGCCATTTCGACGATAAGCAGGCCCGTTGCGACGCTGAAGAATATGGTGTACCCTCCGCTACGACAACCGAGACCGATAGTGGGCGTGAAGTAGCTCAAGATAAATGCGCCTCCGCAACTTCCACCGACGATGACGATAGCACTGAAGATTTGCCAGAACTCTCGGAAATCGAACCAAACCAAACCCTCGTCGTTGACGGCACCCAATACCAGATAGGCTCGTGCTTCGTGTTCGATTGCCAGCCAGTCACGGCCCTTCTTTTGAATATAGCAATCCTCGATGTCACACAAAATGGCATGTGCGGCACCATAATGCCACCTAACGCGTGCTTGACCAGCGAAATCCACAAAAAATTCGTCCATGCACCGTTCTTTCTTCGCTACATTCTCGATCCTGTCTTCCAAATCAGGGTAGTTTTCCTCTCCTTGGTAGAGTTTAAGGTACTCCCTACGATTCGGCGGGTCACGTAAAGAAATGCGAACGTGGTCGACCAAGGTGTTCAGTTTCTTGCGGATCGCTTCTGCTGCGATTGGGTTGCGGTCTACGATAGAGCTCATGATGAGGACGGGGAACCAAGCCAGCAGACAGCCCAACGCTAGATCGTGAGCAGTGGTATTGGCTCCTAGTTCACTAAAAGCATCCTGGATGGAAAGTGCGAAAGCAAACAAGAACCACAAGATGGAAATAAAGACTATGATACTAGTGAGCGCGTGCGATCATATCGGATAAAAGTGATTACCTGGTACAGTGCCTCTTCTTCTCGTTTCGCGCACCTCTTGCGCCAGTATACGTCTCATCTCACGAAGCGTCTTGTCAGCATCTTTTAATATGAGGTCTCTGCTGAAGAGCGTGATGCGCAACAAGCACTCCGCCTCTTTATGATTATCCTTCGACATGACTGTTGAATTCAGTGTGTACTGGTTCAGGACCAGCAAGAGGTACATCGAGTCTCGCATGCTGGCAAAGTCGGTCGTGCGATGGTTCGCACAATGAGCCGTACAATTGGTCGTGCAGTCTCTTGTACAGTTGATCTTACAATCGAGCGTACAATCGAGCTCCTCGTATTCGGGCGTCTTGTCGTCGTATTTAACAGCCATGTCGACCATCAAGGCAGCTTTGGCGGAGACCTTGATGTTCCAAAGTACGTAGGACAGCGATGCGATAGGCGAGCCCACCCATCGCGTGATGGCCAGCACTGTTCTTCGAGCTGCGTTGCTCTCAAAGGGTGCTTGCAGGAGTATACCGATGGTCGGTAGTACCCATGTGGTTATTACTCCAGAAATATCTCTCCATGCGTAAAGATCTGCTTCGGAGCCACACACGTGTATGCACCCTTCTCTGGATATCTGGGTCATGTTATTGTACACAATGCCAAAGATGGTACCATTCCATCCCCATTGTCTGCGAAGTAACTCTCCATCGGGGGTGTTGGCTGTGAAGCGCGCTTCACATTCCGTGAAGTTGGTCATATCGACTGGAAGGCGCGCAAGGCAGAACTCGCTGTGGAGTTTACATGGCGGGTGGGCATGTCTTTTATCGGAACAATAGAATGGGCCTTTGACTCAGAATGCGGTCTGGTCCTGGTGGCAGGACTCACCGTGGAGTTGACATGGCGGGTACATATCGCCTTCATCGCCCAGTGCGGTTGCCAGGCTGCAACGCCACCCTGTGGTCCCCAAAGTGAATGCCTGTCGATAACAAGGTATCCAGTAGAATGGTACGGATATCGAGCCTCATTGTGAACCGGTGAGCGTTTGAGTATTGATGTCAGCTCTTGTACCACCTCACCTACCGTTCAGGTGGCTTGAATTTAGCCCAACCCGTGTCAGCCACGCATGGAGGGCGTGACGTGGTAGCTAATCCAGGCAAGTGGGCAACAGCTTTTTCCCGGGTTTGAACAGCTTGATATGTTATACCATCAATGTACTGGCGATGGCGCAGAAGTTATTGGTGGTAGGACGTTGAGACGTCCGTTGATTTTGTGGCATGAGGATGAGACCGCACGGGCAGCGGGTGTAACGCAACAGATTCCTAGAGCCGAGGTAAATAAGCGCACGTTAATTTGTAGACTGTAGTATGCTATCGACATCGCCATGGTTGGCGCGCGTAAAGAGTAACATGGATATGTCTCTGTACGGGTGCGATACTTCTCTCGTTCGTCCTAGCGGATGGGCCGTATGGAAAGCGGAAGTTCTGATTGCCTCGGCGTCTCCGGGCCTCCTCTGGGTCATCGCAGTACTATAGGATGACGGTGGCGCAAAGAAGGCGTACAGGCAATAGAGATAACGCTGAGATGAAGACACGATGGGGTGGTTGGGTGGGGGGCGGTTTATTATCCCAACGACGCGTTCGTGATTTCGCGGCGGCAACCGCGCCCGGCAAAGCGCGCCTGCCCGTCACTGCCCATCACGTGCTTCTAAACAATCGATCCACGAATCAACAATTCGCTTCCGATTCGAGCAACAACTCCAAAAAATACTCAATCAATGGGGTCAGTACTACCGCTTCGTCATCGATTGAAGAGACGGAGTAAAGTTTCAATTACGGCTCTTACAGGCCTCGGGATGAAGCCACACCAGATATACGGTATATCACATTTGTGACTTCTCTCAATTGTGAGAGTATCTTTTCGTCTAGGTCGTCGATGGTGCGGAATTTGTGAGTGGCAGCGCGAGATGGAATCATGGTAATATCAGCTGAAATCAACAGACCCTGAATAAACAAGTGAGGTCAGCACGGACTGGAATAGGCGGAGTAGTAGTACATCACGTGTCGATTATGAGCCCCCTAAGAATGGCTTCAGCTGCTTCTCAATTCTCGGACACATTGGACATCGCGCAGATTTACATATGTATATCAATGACGTAGATATTTGATAAGACAAGCTTCGTAAGCGTGGTGCTCATAATGCTCATAATACATAAATAGGGTATCGTTTCCCTTGGTACAGCAGGTATATACAACAAAGATTTTCCCCATGTCCAACAATGCCAAAAACACCATGCGATGCAAATATTCCATGCAAAAACCCATGAACACGCCGGCAACATCAGTTCAGACATGCGCCTTCTTCCTCCCCCTCTTCTCACCCTCCTTCCTCATGCGACCCAACCTGGTCCCGCTACCAGGTTGGCTCGCCCTCCACCACGTCAGGGGTTTAATCTTGACATGCCAACCGCATTCCTCCACCGATTCGATTCTTTGTTTCGAAACGATGTTGCGGATCTGTTCCGTCGCAACGAGGGGCATGTAATGTCCTGGTGCGAAGAAGTCGCGTTCGGCGTCGCCCCGAAGCGCGGGACTTAGTCATGAGAAGAAGTACTTCGATTCGCGGAGACGAGATACGTCCCAGCCGCCCTTTTGCGGAACGGGCGGGAAGCTGAGTGGGATCCATACTTGGATCGTGCCCTGATCATATGCGACACGGGATGCAGATTTCTTCTTTGTCGCGTAGCGACCGCCTTGGGGATCTTGCTGGGGATCTTTTGCAAGATCCTCGGCGTCCTCTTCCACAATGTCCATGGTGGATTCAGTGGTGGTGACGGCATCCTCCTCTTCGCCCAAGGCCTCGTCCTTAACCTGTGTTTCCCTGTCGGCTGACTTCTTATCTTTGGTCTCCCCAAGAAGACTAAGCCTGTACGAGTGGAGTGCCTTGGGATCCTGATTCTCAAGCCAGATGCTGGTAGGTGTGACCATCTCTTCACCTTGCTTCCTCTTCTCGGGATCTTGACTATTTAGAAGCTCTTGCCGCTTGGCCTCGAGCGCTACTTCCTCGAACGAAGCATCTCCGTGCCGTGAGCCATTAGCTTTCGAAAGAATGCCCTTAGCTTGACGGCGCTCATGTCTCCACAGGGTAATCTTCCGACTAACGTCCGCGCCGATATGAAGGGTGGCACGGTACATAGCCCCTGCATAACGCGCAGTGAACTCTGCGGCGAGACGGTCGACGATGTCTTCGGTGTGCATTCGTACGAAGGCATCGCGAAGAATGACGTTGAGGTTGGGGATGTCGGAAGCGTGTGTCCAGAAACTGTCGTGTACGGCGGCGAAGTCAAGACCCATCTCGCTAGCCTTCAATGCCGAAAGCAGCATGTGGCTCGCATCGAGAGAGTGGATGAAGTTGGGCGGAAACGCTTGAAGCTGTTTGCGTTTGTCGACTTCATCCTGCTGAGACTTCTTGGCGACTGTAATGTCTTGAATCTTGGTCTTGATCTTTTGAAATCCATCTTTCCGGTAGGGCTGCACAATGGGCATCTTCAGTGGGGTAGTCCAGATAATGCTAGTCGTAAAACTCTCCATAGCCTTGTTGAGTTGCTTTAGTTGACCTGCAGAGACCTTTTGTGGCGCCTTAAATTTCGGATCGTAGAGTGCTCCAGAAGGGTCTGCGCCATCGAAGCGGTCTTTGATCCGTTTGATCTGCTCAGCAGTGATTGATGTCGTTATGCGCTCGCCACATTCGCCAAGCCAGTATTGGATTTCCTGAGCACCGTTGAAGATCTTACCCAAAGCGTCAAAGATTTTGTAGGCAATGTACAACGCGACGCTTCCGAGCGAAGAAACCTGTTTTGTGGGCTCGAAGTTAGGGAACAAGTTGCGTAGCTCGTCTTGCACCTGCTGCTTCGCACCCATGAAGGTAACTCCATAAACATTAGTCATGACTGTTCGCTTCACAACTTTGCGTGTAATGTGGCCGTTGATGAAGCAAGCTTGTGCTAGACCTTTCTCGGCGTCTTTTGCGACCATCTCTTTGACAAGTTCAGCAACACCAGTGTAAATATCCTGTGGTCTGTCGGAAGGCTCAAGATTGACCTGACGAGCACCGGCGTAGTCACCACCGAGCGCTGCGTAATGTTGGAGTCCGTTACATGTTCCATCCTGATGAACAGGTAATTGTGAAACAAAACGGGTCGGATCAGGCAGATCATGGGCGTTCTTCAGCTCCATGCAGCAAGACAAGCATTGCCATGGGTCTTCCGCCTGAGTCCACCACCGTCTGCCGCCCAAAGGATTTGTCGCAGAGTCGTAGATCTCTTCCAAGTTATCCATGGTGAACTGTTCACGTTCTCGCAGACTAGCCTTATCGTAGCCGTAAAGGTTGGCAAGATGGATCTTGAGCCACTGTAAGCCGACAGTACCGAGCTCTTTGCCATTCGCGAACTTGAGAAGTCCTCTCGAAATATCGGATCCGATATGATTGAGAATAGGCGGGATTGGATAGGCACGACCTCGGAAGTCGACGCTGTGCGGGAAGAATATCTGCTTTTCGTTCACGTATGCTCGTGCCGTTTCTAGCTGGAAGTTTTGGAAACACCGCTGCGAATGCAGACCACCCACGCTGTTCTCATATTCCTTTAGAGCCCTGCCCCACTTCGCCCGTTCCTGTAATGTGGCATCTCCAGAAGGTTCTTTGGGACGTTTGAGGTTAGTAACAGAGTCTTCTCCTACAAGAGACCCAATACTCTCGCCAGAGTTCCACGCCTGAGCCATGACCTCGAAGACAGGAGTGTTGATCTGCCAAGGTACACGACCGAGCACGTCCAGACCAGCCATGACTTTGTTCATGTCACCGTTTTCGATGGCTGACTTGGCATAAGCACGCTGTGCGCTATCACCCGCCTTTTGGCGCACGACCTTCTGCGGGATGGTGTAGTACCCTCCATCTTCAAAACTGGACCATGGTTTGGGTTCTACTACCATTGGTAGCCTGACTGAATGGATGGCATGCACAGAATCGGTTCGTAACTTGGTGACGAGCTCATGGTGAGGCACGAGTAAGCCGAGCTTTTTGCCTTGATGATATCCGACTGCATGATGGAAGGCGGCCATATTACGGGACAGCGTCTTGCCAGTTCTGGGGTCGTTTGCGGTCACAGTAAGGGTTGCGCTTTGAAGCAAAAGCTCTAGACAGAGAGCCCCAATCCGGGTTCGTACGGATAGTGGTATGTCGGCCTTTTCGATTTGATAGCTCATTTTCGGAGGTGCTGGTGTAGAAGAAGCCCCTTCGGTATCTTTAGTCTCTTTGGAAAGTTTCTCAACCAAATTCATCCTGGTCTGCTTGCGCTGCTTGCGGAGGAAAGCATCACGTCTCGTTTGTGACTCGGCGTTGAGGTAGTCTTGGACGTCAGTACCGATGGAAACAGACAGAGCGGCGACTTTATAGGCGGAGTTGTCTTCGTCTTTGCCCTTTACTGCAGCCTGAGTAGCGCGAGCAACCGTGATTGCGGCCAACTTTTCAGGCCTGCATCTCTCCAGCCAAACACCGT